ATAGTGCGTGCAGGTGGCACGGCAGGAGTGTATCGTTGAGTGGCCTGTAGTTTTTTCATTTATAGGATTATTGGAAGAAACCTGCTAAGTGTTAAATTGTAGCAGAATCTAGCCCAAGCACCTTTCTAGCGTGGCCTCGGACTGGCCACTACGTCAGTGGCTTTGGCTATTGGTTCATAATATTACATAGTTAATATTGTTTGCAAAAAAACTTCATCGCTTTATTAGCGTGCGGCAAAATTGGTGAATTATATAAAAACTACGAGCAATCTGAGATAGCAAACTGCCGCACAGTGTAGCTAGTCCCCCATCTCTGGCTGTACCGCAATATCGTTGTTGTTTACTCTCTATGACTTATTGTTGTTTGACTCTGCAGAGAGTGACAACCATGGAGCTACATATAACCTGGTATATATGTAGCTCACCAGCAAGACACGATGCGCCTCTCCCTCTTGGCTCAATCTACCACTGCCACAAGCAGATTTTTTCGTTACAATTTTGTAATGCTTGTTTATTAGCCCACAAGTTTACAGGCACCAGTTTCACTTCGTATCTTATTTAATAAGATTGTACTATATAAAATTGCAAAGTATATTAAAATCCGATCGATTATTTTATGAGAATATTTTGAATAAAATAGTGATACGAATAGTGCGCGTATTTTGTGCCCTGAGTTTATCTATACTATTTCAAATGCATTACGCTTGTTTACTTAAACTAAGTTCACGTGTTTATTTATATTTAGATCATTAATTTTGCTGTCAAGATGCTTGCCAATATACTAATTCTCGACAATTGTCTTTGATGGCATTTTGCGTATTCAGCTTAAAACTCTAAATTTGTACACCACAAACTGCAAATCAATAGAAATTTCAATGTTTGTTCGCGCGAGACTTGCGGCGCGTTGGATTGCGCATTTGCTGGATTTCCCGGGAGCTCCGCGCCACTTGAAAATAGTGGCTAGCATGTGGCAGTGGTACCTGAGTGTGCGAAGGGGGGCTGCTGCATGCAGTTTGTGTAGCCTCTTGATTCTCGGTGCCAACTGAAGTAGTAGCTAGGTCTCAGGGGAGAGATAGTGAATTATAGAAATCAGTTTGGATAAAACATCAGTTAAGCCTGCATATACGACCTAACTCCTCCTAATCCTAACCTCTGAAACCCTGAACCCTAACGCACTAACCCATAGAACCCTAACCTTTGAGAAATACTATAGGCCGCCACTCTTGGCCTACTAATTGGTCAATGTTAGCAAATAATGTCCCAGGGGAAAATCCTTCAAAAAAATTCGCTGGGATTCCTGACCTGGATGCTGATAAATACCAAAAATCTAATTACGAATTGTTGTTGCCTAAGACTCAACCGCGTCCAAAAAATTTTCATCAAAATTCCGTTCGACTTTTTTGAAGATATTCCTGTTGACAGACAAAGCCGAACCAGCCAACAGACTAAAACCAGGGGCGAAAACATAACTCCTTGCGAGTAAAAATGTTTTTTTCCTTATTTCTCAGAAACAGCAAAGGGTTGGGAGACTTGGGACCTAAACTTGCCATAGTTAACTTAGCCATAAGTTGTTCATACGTAGTATGAACTAAAAAACGGTCCCTGGAATTTTTTTACGATATTGTGTCATAAAAAACATTGCAGATTTTGTGCATCTTTTCAACTTATTTCCTAAAATTAAAGATTTAAAAAAAAATCCAGGAACCGTTTACTAGTTCATACTATGGATAACTTATGGCTAAGAGTTTAGGTCCCAACCCTTTGCTGTACTGACGGAATGTTTAATAAAAACTTGTCACTTAATTAGCAATGAAGTTTCTGTGATTATTTTCACAAGGTGAGCGTAGAGAGACATCTCTTTTATTAAATAGATGTGGGTTTGATTGAATTTAATGAGCAGCTATGTTGTAATGCCCTTTACAGTACTTAGTACCTGTCCGTAACCTAGAGTCCTAGACTGTTTCCTTAACAGTTATAGTCTTTTTGCTATATCGGTGGATTGCACTTTCGTATATGATATCGCAGAGAGACGATAGATGGCCTTAGGGCGCAAAAAGATGCGTTGTTCCCGACCCCGACGCGCGAAAGGGCGGTTTAAGCCGGGCGCACTTCGCGGCGGGACTGGGCGCAGCGGCGGACCGCGGAATACCGGCTATATACGCACTTCGCGCGCCGAAGGAAGGCGGGCAGCAGTGCGAATGCTATATGCGGGCTTAGCCTACACTGCACTGTAACTTGGCAGGACGTTTTCAATAAAATAGTAATGCTAATTAAATAGCAAGTCACAGTCGCGGCAGAAACTCCCACGAGCCGCTGTCACGTGATGCGCGGGGAGGAGGAGGGCTGGAATGTGCCCCTACGCATGTAAGAAACTGCGCACGGCCGACCAGCACTGCTCGTCACAGAACGTGCTCGTCGCCACGGGAGCGCGGGTCAAGAGGTACATATCAAAATTGCATATTGCATATCCTGTGGCGATGTCTTAGCTATCGCGACTCGAGCAATTCTCAAGTCTAAACAACCATAATCAGTCAGCCCTGCGGGACATAAGATGGCTGTGATGAAAATTCGATGAAAATCCTCTAAGAGAGCCATCGTCGGGCGCATCTATGGACGCCATATTGTACGAGAATAAGTTGCAGGTTATTAATAAATAGATTAAATAATTCGAAATCGCTTTTCTAAGAAAACCTATACGCGCTGCAGACTAGCAAGTTACGATTTCTGAAGCTATTTGCATTTATTCTCAGCCTACGTGGGCATAGTCGAAAAGCTTCTGCAACGCCACAACATTCGCTGCATGACGCGATAAGAGTGCCGATCTGACAGACGTGAAATATGATATTGACAGTAGCAGCGAATTGGGGATCAAAAGGCGCCATGAGTGGCGCTGTTCTGCTAGCTTCGCGCGGCATCGGGCTGCAGCTGTCAAGGTGCTGAGTGAGGCGGCTGCTCATTGGTGAAAGGAACTGGCACCTTCATCAGTATAACTCAGTATCTGTGATGATGCAATGAATGTAGTCTCCAGTCAGTGTCACCTTGAAAGTCAGGAGTGTATATAGTAGGCACAATTGTCACCGGGTTAGTGTCTTGTTAATGAATTTCTGGTTACCCCTGTAGCAGAGTAATGGGCTTAGCGCGCTAGCTTTGTCAGCAGGTGGCACAAGCGGGAGCACAGGTAGGTTACAACGGTTAGCGCAATGAATGCCGGTCAGTTGGAATAGATAACAAGAATCACGCATTAGCCAATTCTATCGTCATAACGCGATATATAGCAAGTTAAAATGCCTTTTGTAACTGTTGTGTTCCCCTTGTTGTAGAGTCGCTAAAGCTGTCATAAGTTTCAGGCGAATGGCGCAGCGATCATGAACTACAAATAAAGGGTTGCTGTGAGGAGAGATATGAGGAAACCACGAAAAAATGGATTCTAACGTCTCTTACGTCATTGTTCTAACGAAGATTTCTCATCGTGGAAAATGTTATAACGATCGATTTCCGCAAACTTAAGCGAGCTATTGTCAGCAGTAATAGCTGTGTCTGTAGTGAAATGGCTGGCATTTTAAGAAAAAGATATACAATAATTGTATTGGAGCTTGAGTCTTTGTAGCTTACTAATCTCATAAACTATTAGCATAACTCTTGAGCACACACCAAAAGAATAAACACGCCAACTTTACAATATGCATCCACTAATTATACGTCGTGAATGCTCACTAAACAATATTACCATAACTCTCTCAGCACACACAAAAGAAATAAACACTGCACTCACATAGTGCACCACTAATATCACCGGTGAATGCCAATAAAGTATTTAGATAACTTTCCTGAGCACACAACGAAAAGAATAACACTCAGCGCTCGCCCACTTCACATATGCACGCAACTAAATATCACACTTGTGAATCTCATAAAACATATATTACATAAAGCCAGCTCAGCCAACCAGCAAAAGATAAAACACCCCGCTTTTATTCACATGATGCAGCCACATGAATATCAACGTGAATCATCAAATAAACATATATTACATAACTCCATGTGCACAGCACAAAAGAATAAACACCTGCAACACCCACTTCACATATGCACCACTAATATCACCGTGCACTATCTAATATAATCTTGCACCTCTACAGATGTGCTTCCTTCCAGCGGCAACTGTTTCTAGCGGCTAACCCCATTGCCTGTCACGACTGCAGATTCCCATGCTTTGTCAAAGCATATTCTGACACTGTCACCAAGCTGAAATGATTCCACGTTAGTTCCTGGTTGAGCTTTTGTCACAATACCAGTTCTGCCGACGTTGTCGTTGTTGTAGATCTCGTTTGGCTAATTGCACAACTGCTGGTTTTAAGAGTGTCGGCGTGTTGGGCAGCTTGTCTATTACTAGTATTAGCGTCCGTTCAGTTGCACTGGGGAAAGATAATGGTGTATAACTGTACTCTAGGAGAGCTATGTGTGGATCTTTACCATCATCATATGCTTTCTTAAAGGGACAGTAGCCGCTAGGATTTTACTGCATACAACTGTACTTACTGTATAACAAATCGTCTATACCCACACGTATTTGTTACCAGATACCTAATTTAATTGTTATAATTAATTACACGTCAACGCTACGAAATTTGAACAGCGCCATGACACCCGCGACCGTGCTGCCACCTCGAAAAAGTTCCGTATTTGACAATTAATTTTGCACGTTACAGACCGAGGGCTAATCACAAGTGCAATTATATTTATACCTAAATGCTATTTTACCGAACGATATTCATTTTAGGCAACGCCATCACTCGCCCACATCTCAGACTTTCCCATCTCAAACATTTATTTTCACATAAAAAATTATATAATGTACTCCTATATGGGAGTTCTCCTATATATACTCTTCGTTTCTATAATGTACGTCGATGGTTGCTCAATTAAAACTGACTTCTTCTCACTCACTCATTTGTGTCCTTTTTTGAGGTGAGCTACAGTGTCATTGACACTTTTATTTTAGGATGGGATGAGGGATGCCTCCAGATGAGGAAGGGAGAAGTGGCACGTCTCACGATCGCCGGACACAAGGGGTACGGAGCCAGCGGCTTTCCAGCGTGGGGATATCCTTTTATCACCAGCACGTTGGTGTGTGATGTGTTTATGAGGCACCCAATTTTACAATACTGATTTCGTCTGCAACTGAATTTTTTATGCTGTTATGCACCTGTTTGAAAGTCTACTGGCAAAAATGTGGGATGAGGTTATTTCTACTTGGTCTGCAAATTGCTGGGTGCTCTACTTCACTACATTTCTACCGTTTGCAGAGATGCTCACATATAATACACATTATTTAGCAGCATGATTTGAAAATATTGAGAAATTTGTACTATTTGTAGGTGTCTAGCAGTCTAACGGTTTTAGAAGAACAGAATTTTAAACTAAATAATAGAATGACATTGTCTTCAAACACTATTTTATGTTAACATATTTGAATCAATACATAAACGCAGTTAAAAATCACCTCTAAAATGTCCAGAATTTATGGGAAAATTTTATGAATCTGAAATACTGGCAAAAGGAAACTATCACATGTACATGTTTAGATATTTTAGCATATGTGCAGTGTACTTGTTGAGTACTTGATGTTTTTAGCATTTGGCTACATACAAACACATGAAGTACATGTTTTACATGAAGTAGCATTTACTAGAATTTAGTGTGAAAAGTTATTGTGTAATTCCTTAACGGCCATGCACGATAACCCCGAATGCCGAACTGCTGTTTGAGATTGAGATCCTGACGATCAATGGACAGTGATCGATCGTGGCGCCACGCCGCGAGCACCCTCTCACACCCTTCGCACGACGCATCGTCACGACCACTCGTCTCCCTCCAAGCACGTGACTCTCGGCGCGAATGATGACAACGTTTGATCGTAGTTTGACGCGGGGTAGATTTGTGTTACGTCTCACGGGAAGTCGCTGCGAGATTGTGGTGGGTGGCTGGATATCGTGACATCGTGCTTCGTAGTTATGACGGCCGTCCTCTGTCATACCATTTTGTCGTGTGGGAAATGCATTCATTATTTTATTCTACGAAATTGTGGTTTTTCGGCTAACTTACTCGGTAATTTTTCACAGCGACATGTGAAAGCTATCTATAAAAATTGATTGTGAATGCAATCGTCGGTTTCAATATCAATAAGCTATCTATAAGAGATCTAGTAACTAGCATCAAAGTGGTCGTGGTAATGATGAGAGTAATTAAATTTTGGATGCTCACAAGCAGATTAAATTATGTATAATATCGTGTTTACTGTGTAACGTTATTTCAATCACTCGCTTTGCACATTTTGCTAGACAAAATTGTATCATTAATTATAAAATTAGTAATACTTATGAATGATTGGACATGCCATTATATCGTAGACTTACACGTGTGTGTGTGCGTGCGTACGTGCGTGCGTGCGTGAATACATACGTGGGTGCGTGCGTGTGTGTGTGCGTGTGTGTGTGTGTGTCTGTTCCAAGATGCTACGATCACTAATCTTTTATACGTGTAATTTGTTTATTATTAAAGTACTGATTGTGTTAGACATCACTATAGCTTGTTTGCCAATGTCGTACTTTCACTCGCTTACGTCTGTCAACCCTCCAACCTTTTCAGCACAGTTTGATCTACTACCGTAAACTTGTTTGTACTCATTGTAGAGCGGGTTCGTTGTAGAGCGTGCGTGTGTGTGCGTATACGTGCGTGCCTGAGTGTGCGTGCGTGCGTGCGTGTGTGCGCGTGCGTGCGTGCGTGTGTGCGCGCATGCGGGCGTGCCCATATGTACGCGCGCGTGTGTGTGTATGTGTGCGTATACATGCGTGCCTGTGTGTGCGTACGTGCGTGCGTATGCGAAATCGCGTTTTGTAAAAATTATATATTTAAAAAAGAGAGGACATACTCAGGAATAACTTTATATGAAAAATCTGGATCCCATTAGTTCCCTCAATAATTTTGTTAGGAGCCTAGCTAGCTAATATTTTTAACATCCTGATTCCACGCAACGCATAGTGAAATTATGTACACATTTCTTTGCCGTTTGTCGGCACTGGTGCCTAAAGTTATCCGTACATCAGACTCATAAAAACTGCTGTCCACTTTTATTTTCAATTTCACAAGTTGCACTTACAAGTGTACAGTCGTAAGTAAAGTTGACACGACAAGTCGCCAACGGAAAAATCCAACTCGTGCATTGCATATATTTAGCACTATATAGTTGTTGCTTCTTGAACGGAGTACGTATGTGATAGGGTAGGTATATATGTACTAACGATTGCAGCAGCTATCACGCGCCCTTTGCACGTAGGTATTTACATTGTAAGCAATGGCGTTGATAAACAGGTACGTAGATAAATTCATTCCACTTGATATTACCCAGCCATTGAACTACTGGTCTGAAAGTACCAGTTGGTCTGTAAGTAGTGTGCGTGAGTGGAGTGAAACTAACAGCATAGATATAGTGAAATAGAATGAGCGGGTAGAGGACACAGATAGGAAGAGAGCGAGTATATTGTGGAAAAAAGTTAGAGATAAAAAGAGGGTGTAGAAAGGAGAGAGAGCGAGCGAGAGCCAATAAGAGAATAGCAGTCGCTAATGGTCTGAGTGTCATGCTGCGCTCGTAGCCGTTTTCCGAGTCAACACGTCACGCTATAACGAGGTAATAAAGACACAAGTTCCTGGTGCAAAGTACGGTAGAAGTTTAGTTAACTTTGTGATGAGAAGTGACGCCAATGCAACTGCACACACCTATACATGGCAATATGCGGTCATTCTTCAGAATGATACGAGCGAACCGGAGAGCGGTGTGCTTATTCATACTAGTAACATTCGCGGCAGTTTCGCTGATTATACAAGAAGTACCGACATTTATTGACGGTGTCTACCACATCGCCAGCAACGAGAAACGAGATTTGTATCTAGTGATTCGCGGTGATCTTACTAAGCCGGATCCTAGGATTGCCTCTGTGCCACAACGTTTGGTCGCCTGCTCATATACTGACCATCATGGGTTTACAGATACACGCGAAGACGGCGGCAGGAACGTAACGGTGAGCGCTCGCACCCAAAGAAACAACAATAACAATAACGAAGAAATCGATACTGAAACAGTTTTATATTCTGGAAACATCGCAGATAGTAAAAGAGTTGAGAAAACTTTACCATCTACTAAAATAAATAGCAAACTGATTGGAGAGACTTATCCCATACCGTCTACGAAAGTAATTGATAAAGAAGTGAAAACTCTATCAACTGCCAAAGTCACCAATACACAGATTAAGGTAATTCTACCATCTACTGAAGTAACTAATAAAGGGGTAGAGAAAACTCTGCCTACTTTAAAGGTAACTAATAAAGAGGTGGAGAAAACTCTGCCTACTTCTAAAGTACCGGTAATTAATAAAGAAGTGGAGAAAACTACTACCTTGCCTACTACTAAAGTAACTAAGAAACAGGTGCAGAATACTATTACCTTGCATGCTGCTAAAGTTACCGTTAAGCAAGTTGAAAAAATTCTAGAACCTAAGAAAATCACTGTTAAAGACGCTGAGAAAACGCTCTCGTCTACGAAAGTAACTGATAAACAGGATGAGAAAACTCTACCATCTACTAAAGCCCCCGATAAACGGGTTGTAAAAACTTTACTATCAACTCCATCGACTAAAACTACTGGCGTCACGCTGACCACAAAGACGTTGCCAACGATACGGAAAAACAATGACTGTACATCAAACATGGCGCCCCCTGCACGCCCCACAGACACGCAGACATGGCAGCGGGTCGCGGATAGAGACATGCTCGTCTTCTCCGCTTTTCTCGACGACAGGGAGCGCACACCGCTTATAAGAATGATTGGTGTAGCGAATGCTTCTAACATCGAGGTTGTGTATTGCCAGGTGTGGCCGGACAACGCCACAGTGCCACTCGTCGTACAGGCGACGTTTGTCGCACTGCCGGAGATACACAATCACGTCTATGGTGGCTACTTCATCGTGTGTAACGTCTCGGGGACATCTCGTCCCGTCGCCGTGTCGGTGACCGCAGAAAGATGCGACGCAAGTCCCGCTAATGTTTTGCTAGTCCACCACCAGGTGTCGCAGCGGAAACGAGGAGAGTTCGGCGTCTGTGTACCGGCGTTCATCAAGAACTTTAACGACGTCGCCGCTCTGCTGGAATTCGTCGAAATGCATCGGATCCTCGGAGCCGACAAGATCACTATGTACAACAGCAGCATCCACGGCGACGTTGACGCCATCTTACGGCGCCTTCAGAACGACGGCATCGTCGAGGTGATACAGTGGAAGATCAGCACGAAGGAGACGGGCGACGTCGGCGTGACGACGAGACACGGCACGCCCGTAGACGTGCATTACGCTGCGCAGCTCGCTTGCATACAGGACTGCCTCTATCGCAACATGCACGCGTACGAATTCGTCGCATTTCTCGACCTCGACGAGACGATCACGCCGCACAAGCATCGCACCTGGAGGCAAATGCTGCGCTACCTGGAGGAAAATCGCGCTTCCAGTAACGGTACTTCCGGCGGCGGCGGCGGCTCCGACGGGAAGTCGTACGCTGCTTACAGCTTCGCGAACTTTTTCTTCACGAGTTGGCGACGTTGCAGCGCCAGCGTCGCCGGCGTGAGCGGACTGCGCAAGCTGAGCGCCAGCGAACTGCGGTCGTGCCTGAAGAGGACGTACAACACGGTGCGGGATCGCGCGCCCATCGCGCCGCCGCGACGCATGAAGAACATCGTGCGACCGCATCTCATCAACGAGCTAGGCATACATCACGTGGCCCGCTACGTCACGGCATCCCCCTCCGCCACGAACATCAAGCACGCTGCTTTGCGAGTGCCGCAGGACATTGGAGTGCTATATCATCACAGGTGGGCGAGAAACGGCGTATCCAACGACAACGTCACTGACGCGGCGTTCTCTGAGTACGCAGAAGAACTAGTGACGCGCGTGATGCAGCGTTTGAATGATGTTTGAGATAACCTAGTGGCTCATGATGATGGTGATGATGATGATGATGATGATGATGATGATGGTGATGATGATGATGATGATGATGATGATGATGATGATGATGATGATAGCTCATGCTGGAGTAAATAGGGCATCAGCAACTGTGTTGATTTTGGCTTGTACAACAGGGCAGCTAATTTCAGTATGTCATTTTCTTTGAAATAGTCTTAACAGTATTCGCGTGTGCCTGTGCGTGCGTGCGTGCGTGCGACCCCCCCCCCGGTAACCATGCACTGGTATCTTGCAAAAGTACTACTATAACTAAGCCCCGCGATCCCACACAGGATTGAACACCCGACTTTTTACTGTTTGTTATCCACAGCACCAAAGATGCAGGCCAGCAACCATTCACTTTCCAAGTCGGCCTGAGAAAAGTAATCGCAGGTAAGAGTGTAACCACGTAACCACTAAACTAGAATGTATGGGTGCCGTTGCTGCACAGCACAAGCTTAGAAATTACTAGTCGTGCAGGTGCACGGCAGGAGTGTATCGTTGAGTGCTGTAGTTTTTCAATTTAAGGATTATGTGGAGAAACCCTAGTGTGTAAATTGTAGCAGAATCTACCCAACGACCTTTCTAGCGTGCCTCGGACTGCCCACACGTCAGTGCTTTGCTATTGGTCAATAATAATTACATGTGTAATTTGTTTCAAAAAAACTTCATCGCTTATTACGTGACGGCAAAAATTGTGAATTTATATAAAAACTAGAGCAATCTGAGATAGCAAACATCCGCCACAGTGTAACAGTCCCCCCATCTTGCTGGTACACCCAATATCGTTGTTTTTACTCTCTATGACTATTGTTGTTTGACTCTGCAGAGAGTGCAACCAAGGAGCTACATATAACTGGTATATATGTAGCTCCCAAACTCCAAGACAGATGGCGCTCTCCCTCATTGGCTCAATCTACCACTGCCACAAGCAGATTTTCGGTTACAATTTGTAATGCTTTTTTACCACAAGTTTTACAGCAGCCAGGTTACTCGTATCCTATGTAATAAGATTTGTACTAATAAAAGTTGCAAAGATATTAAAAATCCGACGATTATTTTATGAGAAATTTGATAAAATAGTGATACGAAATAGTGCGCGTATTGTGCACCCATTTACTACTTTCAAATCATTACGCTGTTTACTAAACTAAGTTCACGTGTTTATTTAATATTTATCATTAATTTTGCCTGTCAAAGATGCTTGCCAATATACCTAATTCTCGAACATTGTCTTTGATGCATTTTTGCGTATTCAGCTTAAAACATCTAAATTTGTCCACCAACAAACATGCAAATCATAGAAATTTCTAATGTTTTGTTCGGCGGAGACTTTGCGGCCGTTGGATTGCCATTTGCTGGATTTCCCCGGAGCTCCGCCCACTTGAAAAATAGTGCTAGCATTGTGGCAGTGGTATCCTGAGTGTGCGAAGGGGGGCGCTGCATGCAGTTTGTGTAGCTCCTTGACTCTTGAGTGCAACTGGAAGTAGTAGCTAGGTCTCAGGGGAGAGATAGTGAATATAGAAATCAGTTGCTGTATAGCAAATCACGGTTAACCCTAACCTAACCCTAATGTCCTAACCCTAGACCATCCCGTAATGTCTAAAATAAAACAAAAATTAGCCAAAAATAATAAAAAATAAAAAAAACTAAGAGAACAAAATTAGCCCAATCAGCAGCCGTCCCCTAGCAGTAATCACTATCTCTCGCCCTGTGCCAAAATTCAACTGGGAAGCAGCAGCAAGGGGCTGACTGGATTATGTTGTACTAGGCATTTTCTAATCTGTTACTATACTTTTCAAATTTAATTAGGCCGGTCAGGCTTAGGCGTTAGGTTAAGGCCACTTTTTAGCGGTTTTTCCATCGATTCTTTAAATATCATCGTAAAATATATGTTTAAAGATTAGAATGCCTAGTAAACATATGCCTATCACCCTTTGCAGCCGGCTGCCGGCAAGCACATGGCTTTGGGACGGAATACCATGGCCGCCACTAGGTTGAGCCTTAATAATGGGTGGTGCCTCCATTAGGAGCATTCCAAACTTTCCAATTGCTCATTCTAATGTCGCTGATATAACAGGGAGGACGGTGGATCGATAATCAATTAACGATATCAAGGCCGGGGTTAGATATGAAATAGCATATCAAGGCGGGATCGATAGTCAATTTAGATTGATGCAGGGGTCCGCGTTAGATATGAAATAAGGATATGCAAGAGCGGGGTTCATATATGGTATATAAGGCGAAGCAAGCAACCATTGGACTGGGGCGGTATGTGTCGCTTCGCTTCTCGGCTGGACTTGTGTTGCTCGAGCGCAAGCCGAAATACAGAGCGGGGGCCATGTTGCTTCGTTTCGCTGGACTTCGTTGTTCGCAGCAACCGAAACTACACAGCCAGCGGCATGTTCACTTCGTTCGCTCGCGACTTCGCTGGACTCCGTGCTCGAGTATAGCCAACGTTGAGACTGGGTATGTTCGCTTTGTTTCGCTGAGATCGTTCGCTCAAGCAAGCGAAAATACAGAGTGGGGCCATGGCGCTTGCGTTTCGCTGGGACTTCGCTGCGACGTTCGATGCTCGAGCAAGCAAAATACAGAGCCGCGGCCGAATGTTCGATCTTCGTTTCGCTGGACTCTCGTTGCTCGAGTAAGCGCAAACATTGGAGACTGGGAGTATGTTCGCCTTCGTTTCAGCTCTGGACTTCGTGGACTTCGTTGCTCGGCAAGCGAAATACAGAGCGGGCGCATGGTCGCTTCGTTTCGCCTGGACTTCGTTGCGCGAGCCAACGCGAAATACACAGGGCCATGTCTCGCTTCGTTTACGCTGGACTTCGTTTGCTTTGGGAGCAAGCTGAAATACAAGAGCGGGGGCCGATGTTCGCTTCGTTTCGCGTGCGACGTTCGCCTGAGGACTTCGTTGCCTCGAGTAAGCAACATATGCAGACTGAGTATGTTCGCATTCGTTTCGCTGGACTGCTCCTGAGACTTCCGTTGCTCGAGCACAGCGGAAAGACAGACGCGGGCCAGTCGTCCTTCGTTTCGCTGCGCACTTCGTTGCTCGAGCCAGCAGAAATACAAGAGCGGAGGCCATGTTCGCCTTCGTTTTGCCTGCGGCACTTTCGTTGCTCGTGCCAGCGAAATGACAGAGCAAGGCCATTTCCGCCATCGTGCGCGGTGCGGACTTCGCCTCAGTTCGTGCTCGAGCAAGCAACATTAGAGGGGCTGGGGGTATGTTCGCTTCGTCTTCGCTGGACTTCGTTGCTCCGAGCAAGCTAAAGACAGAACAGGGCAGTTCGCCTTTGCTTTCGCTCGCCTTCTGCGCGAGCAGGCGAAAATAGAGAGCAGCTGCATCTTCCCTTAGTTCACTAGCCTTCAACGCTCGGAGCCAAGCAAAATACACAGTGGGGGCCATTTTTCGCCTCCGTTTCGCTGGACTTCGCTGATCAAGCCAGCAATTATGAGACGAGGGGTCATGTTCGCTTCCTTGCGAAGGAAGAGATGAGAGAGAGGAGAGAGAAATGGCAGGGAAAGAGGTCGAATGAGAGAGAATGACAGAGAGAGGATAGAGATATACAATTCGTTACAGAGAGAGAATAGAGAGGTAAGTGAGAGAGGCCGGCAGAAGGACAGAGAGGGCCAAGAGAGCAAGAGAGCGAGTGAGGGAGACAGAGAGATAGTTTAGAAGGAAGATAGAGGAGACGTAGGGGTGGAGTCAGAGAGCGGAGAGATAGAAGGAGAGAGAGAGAGAGAGAGAGCGGAATTAGAGGGGAGAGAGAGTGAGGTAGAATGAGGAGAACGATAGATAGAGGGCACAGAGGAAAGGAGAGAGAAGCAGAGAAAAGAGCAGAAAGAGAGGAGAGAGAGTGCAGGAGGAAGAGAGAGACGAGGAGAGACGATGCCCCGTGAGGAGAGAGAGGAGAGGCGTGAGAAGCAGCTTTGTGAGACAAATCTGTTCTGCCAAATCTAATGCGTCGATAAGCGGCTTAGACACATGCACCTGTGACAGTGTCGGTGTGTACACGCCCGCCCAGAGGAAGTCTATCTGTGTCTCTCACTCTCTTCTTACATTGCTAATCTAGAGCCGTACGAAGCACCGTGGTTCATACTTAATTCTGCTTCACCAACTCCGATTGACGGTGAATGATACACAAGTTTATTTCAACATCACATTTACTGTTGAGTCAGGAGGTTTATCTTGGTGCGGCCGTTTAATTAGACACAAATAATGAGTAGGACGGAAAGCTTGAGTAACAGAAACCAGCCATGTTTATTATAGTTCCCCCTCACCTCCATAGGTGCAGCACATGCCAGTGTTGATAACTTGTTGGACACAAGGAACAGATAATTATGATAATACAAACATCCCCTTGAGATGAAATAAAACGAATAATGCAGCTCTTGCAGATATGAATTCCCATACAGTCCAATTTATCCACAGATCATTCCTGACAAAGATTATAAATACTGCAACAATTGAATGTATGTAACCACGTTAACGCATCAACACTTTATCGTTTTAAACACATTAACCTATCTTTTGAACACATATCTCACATAAACCCTATCCTGGCTAAACAGATTGTTCACAGGTCTTAGGTCCTTCACACACGCGTTTGGACACTCTGCCGAAACCTGAGCTCACAACGGCTAGGCTTGAGCTGGCCATCAGTACTTTCACTGATACTGTCCTCGTGGTGCGTGAGTTTCAGTTCAACGGATGGAGATGTCCTGTATCACGAACTAACAGTCCAGAGTTGCATGCGCAAACTGCTTGCGGGGTGTTCACATGTACTTCGCCGATCTGCGCGGTTTCTCGACGAAATCCTGCCTCGCAATATTCTGCGGCTAAGCTGCACAAGCTTCTGCGTTGTCGTCTCAGGACGGACCCAGATTGAGTCTCTTACTCAACATACGATCGCGGTGTCTCCGCTTTGTGATGACCTTAGCGGCGACGTTCTTTATCACGAAACCCACACATTGTCTCCCTGCCTCAGTTCAAATGATCTGTCTCGCCACCACGGCGTCTGTCAGCGGTTTCCGCCATCTTTTTGTTTGTTTTTTTTGTTGTTTTTTTTTTTTTTTTTTTTTTTTTTTTTTTTTTTTTTTTCTTTTTTTTTTTTTTTTGTTTTTTTTTTCTTGTTCGGCGGTACTCTAGTGTCTGTCTTAGCGAGATTGTCCCATATCGGCCAACGGGGCGTTTAGTTTGGTCGGCATGCTGCGCGAACTTGTTGACGCACGCGTCTTCCGAATCAGCAACTTTCTGCGGGCTGCTACCCATGAAAGAAGCGTGTGGCTCTGTACGCTTAGCATGCCGAGGTATGGGTCTTGTTTGCCTCTTCACCAGGTCCCTTCACGTTTGCACCGCCGCGCTTCTACTCCGCATGTGCCTTGATGGGATACAGCGGGCTACTTGTGGCCATGCGTGAAGTTGTAGGTATCCGCGAAGCTTGCCGAATTCTTCTGCGGAATACTTGGGTCCATTGTCGCGACCTGACGCCGTTCTGGGACTCATGTCTCGCCCCCAAAGATTGACTTAGATGGTTGACTATAGCTATCGATGATAGCTGCTGTCAACTTCAGCGAGTTCTGATATACGCTGCGAGAAGCTATCGACTAGCTACAAGGTAGTGACACTTCTTCATGTTCGAACAAGTCTGTACCAACGATTGCCAAGGAGCGTTTGGAAACTCGGTTGTGATGCTTCGGTTCATGGCGAACAAACACGTTTCTTTTGCCCCCACAGATGTTACAGCCTTGCACTAGAGTTCTAACTGTTATACTTTAGTTCCTGGCCACCACACAATTCCTGTGCCACGACGTCTACACTTAGTTATCCCCCTGGTGGCCTTCTGTGAATTCCTATCCAAGAGTTCGTAAGCGCAGTGCTTGTGGGTATGGACTATTCTAGTACCCTTCATCAGATAACCCGTCCATAACAGTCAGTTCACTTGCCTACTGCGTTAGAACGGTAACACAGCTCATTGACGTCATGATCTATCTGGCCAACCATCTTGACAGTATTTGACGATGTGCAGCACACTTCGTCTTCGGACTGCTTCTGACGATTTCAGCCCTAGACGGTTTTTTCGGTGGCGGGCAGACTCTGCACGATTAACTCCACGTAGGCGTTTGACATCCTGCCGCGGAGTTCTACTTCCTCAGACGTTGGCGGAATAGACACTGGCGCCCTCGACAAGGCTCTGCGTATACAGTATCTTTCCCGCGAACATGCTATAATACTGCATCGTAGCCGCGATCATACGGAGGTTGAAGCGTTGACTTGGGCCGGGGAGTTTCCACTCTGTTGAGCCAAGAAGCGACATAACGGCCTATGTCCGTTTCTAGAGTAAATGTTTTCCAAATCAGATACTCTTGCGAAACCTATCGCAAGCCCACGCTGAGCCGCTAGCGTTCTTTCTCCCACCTGGCGCGTTACCGGTTCTCCGTACTCAGACATGAACGTGACGCGTAGCCATTGGCTTGCCACACATGTCATCCGGGTTTCTGCTTGAGACGGCCCTTAATCCATTACGGTACGACCAATCAGCCTGCAGACGATCGTGTCTCTCTCGCAGATCATACAGCGCAAGATACCAGTCGACGTGAGACACTTA